GGGGTCGGCTATTTTGCGAGCTGCGAGTTGCGAGCTGCGAGTTGCGAGTTGCGAGCTGCGAGTTGCGAGTTGCGAGTTGCGAGTCGCTAGCCTCGCTTTGAATTAGGCTTTGAAAGTATATTAATATGGACGACATGGAAGGCAAAGTCGAAGGGTTTTTTGTTTCATAAATATAATGACCTTCGAAGTTAAGGTCCCTGTAACTAAGACTTCGACACAAAAGAAAATGCTACGATACGGACGAGATAAAAATCAGCCTTTACTTGTTTTTTTACTTTGTTAGATCCATCGATACGTATGTTCAAGAATTAAAATAATTATATTGAAAATAAAAGTGCAAGTTTATATTTGCCGTTTCTGTGTTTAATAAAATCTAGTAGTTATCCAGACCATTTTGTGCTTTCTAATCGTAAAATGGTTATTTAATTTTATTAGTAAGTATGACCAGACACCGACTCAGTTTGTTTATATATACTGAACGCTGGGAACCCTATAAAACTCAAGTCCTTTTCATCGGAAGTACAATTTATCTTATACAATTTATACATAGACATACATATACATACATAAACTTTATCTAAACACGGGAAAAAACCATCAGTATATCAAAACGATTGCTATTTACAAGTTTGTAAGTATAAAAATAAATGCAATGAATGTTTATTTCAAAAGCTGAAAATTAGCGCCAAATTGAGACAAAGCTAAAATCACATCCGCCAGGATGCCATACAGTTTTCAATTTGAATTTTTAGTGTAAACCACAGGTGTAAACACCTGGTTCGGTGCTTCAAAGCTAGGTTAGTGTTAACCCTGGGTTAAAATTAAACCCGATGTTATTAGAAATTAACAATATACTCGTAACTCGCAACTCGCAACTCGCAACTCGCAGCTCGCAACTCGCAACTCGCAGCTCGCAACTCGCAACTCGCAACTCGCAGCTCGCACTATAGATAATCTCTTTGCAGACATGGATCGCGAAATTAAAACACAAATTGTCCAAACGTGCACGTCCCAACAGCTTCGACGAAAAGCCCTTCGTACTGAAATGACTCTCCAACAACTCTTAGATCAAGGCCGAGCCTACGAACTATCACACCAACAAGCTCAGGAAATGGAAAATAACAACACAGAATCAGTCAACCAGATGAAAACTGCTGCAACACGAAATTACTTTTCGAAGAACTTCAACTCACAACGTCAAGGACCAAGACAAGAATCAACGAAACTATGTTATTTTTGCAGCAAACCCTATCCTCATCCTGGCGTATGTCCAGCAAAAGGGAAAACGTGTCGACTTTGCGGGAAATTGAATCACTTTGCCGTCGCATGCCGTTCATCTCCACAAAAACAACAACATCGCCACCATGAAAGTGACAAACGTCAGACGGTTAAATATGTAAACGAAGAAATCGCAAGTGACAATACCAGTGAACACTCCGAGTCGGATGAATATACGTTTATGGTGCAAGATACAGACGAAAATACCAAACATCCAATGGTTAACTTACGGATTCAAAACCTAGCCAAAGTTAAATTCATTATTGACACTGGAGCGACAGTTAATTTACTCGAAGAAAAGGATTTTGAAGCCCTCAAACCGGAAATAACATTGCAACACAGTTCTATCAACATCTACCCCTACAAGTCCGATAAACCCCTCCGTGTCCTTGGAAAGTTTACTGCTACTGTAGAATCGCGGAAACGAATTGATGCTGCCGAGTTTTTTGTCGTTAGCAACAACGGTTGCCTTGGAGGTTCTTTGTTATCCTACAATACTGCAAAGCATCTTGGTTTGATTGCAATTACTAACGCTGTGGACACTGCTAAGAACACAACTGTATCCTGCAATGTTGCAATACCTGAGGAATTATTCAATGGCGTTGGAAAATTAAAAGATCATAAGGTGAAGCTACATATTGACGAATCAATTCCACCCGTTGCTCAAACCCATCGGCGGATACCATTCCATCTACGGAAACAGGTGGAGAAAAAGCTTGAAGAGATGGAAAAGGATGACATCATCGAGAAAACAGAAGGTCCAACGCCCTGGGTTTCTCCAATCGTTGTGCCGAAACCCAAAAGTCCAAACGATGTTAGAATTTGTGTGGATATGCGGGCTGTCAACAAGGCAATCCAGCGAGAACGTCACATAACCCCCACCATAGATGACGTCATAGCAGATCTAAATGACGCTAAAGTATTTTCAAAGCTTGACCTCAATCAAGGTTATCACCAACTTGAACTCTCAGAAGAATCACGCTATGTTACCACGTTTAGCACCCATGTCGGCCTGAGGAGATATAAGCGCCTTAATTTCGGAGTAACTTCTGCAGCTGAAATTTTCCAAAATACTATTCGAGAAACTCTTGAAGGTCTCAACGGCTGTATTAACATCAGTGATGACATCTTAGTCTATGGATCCAACCAAAAAGAACATGACAACAACCTTAAATCTGTATTGGAATGTCTTCAGTCTCGTAACCTAACATTAAATAAGCTGAAGTGTGAATTCAACAAAACCAGCGTTGAATATTTTGGATATGTATTCTCATCGCAGGGCATTTCACCTGACTCTCGCAAAGTGGAAGCTATACGCAACTCCCAACCTCCATCCAATCCAAACGAAGTCCGAAGTTTTCTAGGTATGGTCAACTTTTGTGCCCGATTCATCCCAAACCTTGCGACACTAGCTAAACCATTACGAGACCTGACAAAACAGCATGTCAAGTGGAAATGGACCAGTACTGAACAACATGCTATGGACAGTATCAAATCCGTGTTAACCAGTGAAACAACAATGGCTTATTATAATCCCTCGCACAAAATTGAAGTTCTTGTAGATGCAAGTCCAATTGGTCTTGGTGCTATACTTGTCCAATATCCTACCACTAGAGATCACAGTGCTTCGCCACGTATTGTCAGTTATGCCAGTCGGGTATTAACTCCTGTAGAGACTCGCTATTCACAAATTGAGCGAGAAGCTCTGGCTATTGTCTGGTCATGTCATAAATTTCATCTATATTTATATGGTACCCAATTCTCTGTTATTACTGATCACAAGCCACTGGAACGTCTTTTCAACGACCCACAAAGCAAACCACCTGCTCGTATTGAACGATGGTTACTAAAGGTACAACCATATCGTTTCAATGTTCAGTATCAACCCGGTTCTGACAATCCAGCCGATTTTATGTCCCGCCATCCGTTGCCATCATCACCTACCAGCCATGAGGAGAGATGCGCTGAAGAATATGTTAATTTCGTTTCAATGCATACTGTTCCCAAGGCCCTTACACTGGAAGAAATCAAAGAAGCCATCTAAGCCACAAAAGCCGATACCACACTTCAAGCTGTCATTCAAGCAGTTGAAACCAAACAGTGGCATAATGCGAAACTCCAACCTCATGTTGATCGCAAGTCGGTAGAATGTTTTTTTCACATCCAAAGAGAACTGTCAGTTAACAGTGATCAAAGTCTCCTCCTACGTGGTACCCGTATAGTCATACCAAGTAAACTTCAAAACCATGTGATAGACCTCGCACACGAAGGCCATCAAGGCATATCACGGACAAAACAACTCTTGCGTGAGAAGGTCTGGTTTCCGACCATTGATAAACAAGTGGAAGAAAAGGTTAGCTGCTGCTTAGCTTGCCAAGTCACAACAAACACAAGCAACATTGAACCATTACGTATGCCTGAAGCTAGCAAGAATCCATGGGAAAGTGTATCAATTGATTTCTGCGGCCCGTTTCCCAGTGGTGAGTACTTACTTGTATTGATTGATGACTACTCACGATATCCCGAAGTAGACATTATTAGAACAGTAGCCCATACAACTGTTATTCCCTGTCTTGACAAAATCTTTGCTACTCACGGAATTCCCAGAACGGTTAAATCGGACAATGGCGCCCCATTTAATAGTACAGAATTCAAACAGTTTGCTAATTATCTTGGTTTCCAACATCAGCGTATAACACCCTATTGGCCTCAGGCAAACGGAGAAGCCGAACGATTTATGAGAACATTAAAGAAAACAGCTAGAACTGCCAAAGTTGAAGGCAGGTCTTGGAAACAAAACTTGTTTACCTTCCTCAGAAACTACCGAGCTACGCCCCATAGTGTAACCCACCAAGCTCCTGCAACCTTGCTATTCAATCGTGCCATAAATGTCAAGTTACCCCAGTCACAAACTGTAGCACCAGCTGACCCAAACCATCAACAAGCACTTGATGCATCGTGTAAGTCAAGACAAAAGAACAAGGTCCACTTTGACAAACGAAACAAAGCCAAATCTTCTGAATTCAAAGTCGGTGATGCAGTCCTGCTGAGAAACTCAAAGAAAGGTACATTGCAGACCCCTTATGAACATCAGAAATACCAAATTGTTAAGAAGAAAGAATCGATGATTACAGCGTCAAATGACAATCGCCAAGTCACCCGGAACTCATCACATTTTAAAAAGTTTAAAGAAAAGAAAGGTGAAACAGATAACCCAGGAGATAAAGAAGAACAGCCGAGCAAGCAGAACACCAATGAACGCCCGAAAAGGAAAACAAAACCACCAGCCTAAAACATGGCAGGTGAATGGTAAAGGCTTATTTATAATGAACTTTGAGGCAGTCTCTGTAAAAGCGGTCCACTGCATTTCGGATCAGAAAATAGTTTTCTCCCAAACTTTTACCCTGAAATAGCACATACCAGTGAGTTATGAAACTGACTTTGGTTTTTCAATTTTCATAAAAATAATTTTTTTACAGCGCTTTAGCTCCAGGCGACCGTGTTCGCTGAATTTGCACTTTTCGTTGACTGAAAATTACACATATTTAAGACATTACAGCTCACGGAATATAGAACTTTGCACCAAGATCTTTTTTCTCAGTCTTGTTCATTCATTCAAGTGCAAAATTCAAGCGAAATTTTGAATGTCGGGAGAAATGCGGGGGGAGGAAAAAATACGCAATGATACTCGTTTTACGGCCTTCTTAAAATCACGACAAACTGACCCTCAGAAAATAGCTTTGATCTCTAAGTCCAGCACTAAAAACCTAAAGCTTCTATTCCAATCTACTAATCTAAGGATGTATAAAAAGGATTGATAAAAACATTTTGCGCTTTTTATTTAGATTCTGCACAACAACCTCGAACTTTCTGTGTTTTTAATGCAAATTACATTAGTTAGGCGGTAAATATAAACTGTAATGAAAGACCGTTATTTGCTTCAACTTTTATTGCATTCGGATTTAAAGCATTAAATTTTTCTTATTTTCGAATTTAAAGTTCAAGAAATTTACTACTAAATGGTGCCGGACGGCTTTGCTAGCTGAAGTGTTTTATTGTTTGTGCAAAATACTTGACTGTTTATTATGCAAGCTTAATATTTTACCAAAATAGAATTTCAAAACAGCAATTCCGTTTTTTTACTCAGTTCGAGTTCGGAACTTCGGATAAAATCTTGTTAGATGCATTTACAAATTTATTATATACGCAAGGTCTCGATATGAGGTACTCTGCAATCAAAAACAAAATGGCGGCTGAAACTGAATTTCCGACATTTTGCGAACGAGAAAATGGCAATTTGTTCGCTTTTTATAGCCTTTACAGAATTAAAAACACAACGAAAAAACTCCCACAAATTGTTTACAGGTTAGCAAATAAATTTTTAAAATTTAGAATGGTTAAAAATATATATGTTTTTGAAAATATACTCGGACGAAAGAGCGAAGATAAAAACATAAAAATTAATAGAAAAATATTGAAAATATCCGAAAAGCAAAGTCTGTGAATTCAGACCTTGTGTATATAATAAAACTCACTCTTGTCGAATACGAGCGATAGCCGATTCGGCGCTACGCGCCTCATCGGCTATCAGCTCATATTCGACTCGAGTTCGTTGAATAACTGTTAAATATCCGATATTCTTACATCACTTAATTGATTTAACGTAGGAAAAATAACCAAAACACATGTGCATATACCACGACGAAATCGACCGATCTTACTGAACGTGACTTTATATTTTAAGGCTTAAGGCAGCAAGTGATATTATAATTTTTAAAACATTTTGCACTTTTATTTTAATATATTCTACATAGCAACCTCGAACTTGCTTTTTGTTAATTTATAAAGCCTGACATGACACATTAAGACATAAAAATAATTAGAACTATAATCTAGTATTTACCTGAATTGACGGGCGACTTCTAGAATATATGTCATTATTAATTATTCTTTCGGAATTTTTTTAGCGTATAAGACCTATTGCCCCTATGGCCATGATGAAAAATCAAGGGTGGGTAGTAGAGAATTAGTTGTCAGTGCCGTCGCGAGGAACTCGCTTCAGGGGGTGTTTGGTTAAATCTACCTGAAAGTATCAAAATTTCGAATTTTACCTCAAATTTTTTTTTGTTACCTGAATCTTTTTTTGGTGACCGCCCCCCTCGCAAAAAAATTTTCGGTCAGTGTACCATTTTAGAGGTAAAAAAATTTTTCCGGACATATCAAAATTTATCGCAACATAAAAAAATTTTCCGGACATCACAAATTTTCTCCGTTTATCTAAAAAAATTTTCTAAAATTCCGAAAATTTCTAGCATATTCTAAAATTTTTGTAAATATACCTCATTTTTTTCCAAATTCACAGTCATTTTTGTAAATTAACTTTCTTTTGTCCTAGGAATTACCTGAATTTGCGTTCATTTACCTTAATTTCTTCTGCAAATCTACCCGAATTTACCTGAAATTGCCCATATAAGCAATTATCGGGGGGGGGGTACCCCCCCCCCCCGCTCGCTAAGGCCCTGGTAGTTGTAGTTCGCTTCTGTAACGAACTACAATTTTCAAATAGCCAGTAGTTTTTGACTATACTTTCTGTAAAGATTGTAGCTTTCGAAACGCCACATTCCGCAAAAAGCTCTGAAAACTCTAAAAAGCATGCCATGCCTTCTGATTGAATCTTAAATTTAGACTTTTAATAAGTCATTAATGTGTTGTTTTGTGTTGTTAACTAATTAATTCGTCACATGCTGAAAGCACGTAAAGATCTGATGTCGATTTCATCGGTAAAATACAAAGCTTGCATAATAAACAGTCAAGTATTTTGCACAAACAATAAAACACTTCAGCTAGCAAAGCCGTCCGGCACCATTTAGTAGTAAATTTCTTGAACTTTAAATTCGAAAATAAGAAAAATTTAATGCTTTAAATCCGACTAAAATGCGGTGCGTTTCCGCCTACATGCACAAGTCAAGTCAAGTAAAGTTATATTTAGCATGCCACATCCTCCTGTCGGCCGCCAGTTGGTCCGTACGTTAGGATCAAAACTGCGTTTTAAAGCTTTCGAAATAAAATGTTTTGGCTCAAAATACTATCAAATTGAGGAGAAAGTGAGACAAATCCACTGGCATACGGCCGAAAACGAGAAAACCAACAATTCCGAAATTATCAAGAATCAAACGGACGGCATTTTTAATTATAGTTTAATAATTTTGAGCGATTTGTCAACAATACAATTTCGCCTATTAAAACTGCACATTAAAACCTTCAAAATATAATATTTTGGACTTAAACTACTAACAAAATAAAGAGAAAAGTGAGACTAAACCACTGGTATACGGCCGAAAAAGAGAAAACCAACAATACGAAGTTAATCAAGGTCAAATGTATTGCATTTTTAATTAGTTTAATTATTATGAGCGATGTGTGAACAATACAATTTCGCTTGTCTTTCAAAGGCCATAAATCGCTAGAATACTGTTGTTTAGAATACATTTGACATCCGTAAGTACAACTTCTCACGCTAATTCGAACGGTATTATTTTTGTCCCTATTTGGCCGCATAAAACCAGAGATAAAGCCTAGCAAACAGTCGATCATGAGAGTACCGACAACAACCAACAAATTCCGAGCACGTGCAAGGAATTTTTAGTAGGTGATTAAGGAAACGTATTGATGCAAACAAACTAACAAACGGACCGTCAAACTAACAAACAGATAAACTAACAAACTCACAGGCAGAATATAATGTGGTGCCCAAGTTTGGGCATCGCAATTGAAGCAAATAACTGTCTTTCATTACAGTTTATATTTACCGCCTAACTAATGTAATTTGCATTAAAAACACAGAAAGTTCGAGGTTGTTGTGCAGAATCTAAATAAAAAGCGCAAAATGTTTTTATCAATCCTTTTTATACATCCTTAGATTAGTAGATTGGAATAGAAGCTTTAGGTTTTTAGTACTGGACTTAGGAGATCAAAGCTATTTTCTGAGGGTCAGTTTGTCGTGTTTTTAAGAAGGCCGTAAAACGAGTATCATTGTGTATTTTT